CCCCTACACGAGTGAGAAACAAGCCTCTATCCCATTTAGGCCATTGTCTTGGGTCTCTGTGTCTGATTAATTATCTTGATTAATACAATCCCCACCCACCACCAGTATTGGATGGACTTCCCCAAATCAGGAGGAGACATGTCTGACCTGAGGAAATGGGTCGGCTGACGCCAGCAACACATTTTCCGGTTTCAAGTCACAGTGGACGATATTCTTGAAGTGAAGGTGTCTCAAAGCCACCAGGATCTGAGGGGAGGCAATGGAGCCAGTAAGAATGTTAGAAAGGTCCCTGTCCCAAGATTCTGCCCTCAGCAGCCAGCCCTCCAAACCCCATCCATGCCCCACTCTGTACCCCTAAAGATGCCCCCCAGCACTAGGGGAGGCACTGGAAACCAACGAAGAATTTCAAAACCCCAGAACCATTTCCATCAGAGATAGGAGTTGGACATATAATTCTAGGAAGGCTGAACTGGAGCAGAGATTTGGGAAGTTCCTGAGACACTTTGGCATGTGGATCATGATGAAAAAGTGCTATGAATAAAGCAGTGGCTTTCAAGGAGGTACTATTGTGTAATTCCATTTTTTAAAACATATTTTTCAGCCATTATAAAAATGGAAACAATACAAACTACCAATATGACATGTTATAAATTAAATGTAACACCTTTAAGAGGTGGGGGGATTGTAGAGCCAGCCTACTAAGGTAGCAAACCTGGCTCCACACTTACTAGCCTGTTGCCTAGGGCAAGTCTCTTAACCTCTCCGGGTCTCAGTTTTCTCACCTGTAAAATGGAGGTAATAGCAGTACCCATCCTCATGGGTTGCTGTGAGCTTTAAGTGAGTTGAGGCATATAGAGTGCTTAGGGCAGTGTCTGGCACAGAGCAAGCACTCCATGTGAGCTATTATTATTGTTGCTGTTTTTAGTTATTATTCTTGTGGTGGTCTGTTAGCAGACATATTCCTGTGAGTGTTTCAAATAAAACTTTTCCTGCTGTATCTATTAATTCAAGAGTATTCTATGATGGCAAAGTGAGCTGACTTGAAAACAAACAAAACCAAAACACTGTTACCATCTGTTACCACTAATCTATGGGAGCCATGATTTTTCCTTGATTCTAGGTAACCCAAAGAAAATGCCAAATACACCGGAAGTACAGAGTGATGTAAGCATGAAGTTGTAATCTATATCTTAGAACCGAAGTATTTGTCCTTTCTCATTGTTTTTGCTGGATGATTTTCGAGTACGGAAATGCTGTTTGAAAGCTACTGCTGAGGTCCAAGCTCCTCATTCTACAGATGGGGAGACTGAGATCCAAAGACGTATGTGGACATCCTCTTCTACAGATCTTCAGTTTTTTAATTTTTCCAACCCCTAGTAAATGTGGTGAACAAAAAGGGCAGATTGGAAGCTAGACAGACCCAGGTTCAAACCTTGGCCAGATTGCTACCTAGCGATGTGACCTTGTAGCTGTGTGACCCTGGGCAAGACCTAGGAACCTCCCTCCACCTCAGTTTCCTCATCTGTAAGATGTGGATTATAGTAATACCTACCTCAAAGGTGGTTGTGAAGCCTATAAGTTCATGAGGTATAGGGCTTAGCACAGGACTTGGGGTGGGGCAGGCAAGAGGCAAAAAGCAGAAATCTGCAAACGGAAAGAGAAAGAGAGAGAAGAGCACAGGCAAAAAGAGAGGAAGAGATGAAAGACCAGAAAGAGAAACTGCCTCAGTTGCTGAAGGCAGGCAGTTTCCTCTCCCCACCTGAAGTCTGGATGAGCCTGCCTCAGTGGGTTTCTATCCCCAGCCTGCAAGTCAGCCTGACAAAGGCACACAGCTTGGGAGAGCAAGGGTGCTGGGCCTGGAGAAAGGAAGCCAGCACAGGGGACTTTGCAACCAACAGAGAACATGTCCCAGAATCAGGTGTGGAACCAGCCAGGTGGGAAGATCTTTCTAGGAAGGCTGTGAAACCCAGAAAATGAAAGTAAACCATGAACAAAATAAAGAGGAAAAGAAATACTGGGATTAGAGATGGGTACAACACAAGCAGCAAAGATCCAGGGTCCTTCATATACAAAGAGCTCTTACAATTCAATAAGAATAATCCAATTGAAAAATGGGCAAAGAGTGCATAAAGCACAGGCCAATAAACATGTGAAAATATGCTCAACTTCACCCATAATTTTTAAACCAGCAAATGAAGCCACATATAGTATTATTTTCCCACCTTTAAAACTGGTGATTGGGCTTCCCTCATGGCACAGTGGTTATGAGTCTGAGTCTGCCTGCCAATGCAGGGGACATGGGTTCGAGCCCTGATCCAGGAAGATCTCACATGCCGCAGAGCAACTAAGCCAGTGCACCACAACTACTGGGCCTGCGCTCTAGAGCCCACGAGCCACAACTACTGAGCTCACGTGCCACAACAACTGACGCCTGCATACCTAGAGCCCGTGCTCAGCAACAAGAGAAGCCACTGCAATGATAAGCCCACGTACCGCCAGGAAGAGTAGCCCCCACTCGCCACAACTAGAGAAAGCCCACCCGCGGCAATGAAGACCCAATGCAGCCAAAAATAACTAAATAACATTAAAAAAAAAAAAAGACTGGTGATTATATTGGGAATTCCCTGGCTGTCCAGTGGTTAGGACTCAGTGTTTTTACTGCTGTGGCCTGGGTTCAATCCCTGGTTGGGGAACTAAGATCCTGCAAGCCATGCAGCATGGCAAACAAACAAACAAACAAACAAAAAGCCTGGTGATTATATTATCCAGAGTTAGTCGGGAGTGAGAAAACAGACACCCTCAAAATTTGTTGGTGAGAACAAAGATTGAAGGAGGTTTTAGAGGACTTCCCTGATGGCACAGTGGTTAAGAATCTGCCTGCCTGGTCCAGGAAGATCCTACATGCCACGGTGCAACTAAGCCCATTCGCCACAACTACTGAAGCCCGTGCACCTAGAGCCAGAGCTCCGCAGCAAGAGAAGCCACCGCAATGAGAAGCCTGTGCGCAACAATGAAGACCCAATGCAGCCAAAAATAAATAAATTTATTTTTTAAAAAAGAAAGAGGTTTTAGAGAATAACAGGGCAACATCTTTTTAAAAAATTTAAAGCACATTTCCCTGGGCTCGGGAGTCTACTCTTCGAAATGTATTCTATTGAAATTCTGCCACCAGAACCTGTCGATGTTTGTAGACAAATGTTCACAGGATGTTGTTTGCAGTAGTGGAATAGTGAAACCAACTACATGCTCAGCAACTGGGGAATTTGGTGATATCCGTCATGGGGCGCAATTAAGAAAAAGAGGCAGTTCTGCTAACTACACACTGAAAGAGAACAGTCTTCCAGAAGCACTGTTAAAGTGAAAGTAAGAAGCAGAACAACGTAGCGTTATATATGTGAAATCAATTAAAATGCATGCACTTGTGCACGTGCACACACACACAAATAACACAAATTAGTTTGACTTTACTCAGTAAAAGCACAGCTCCCAGGTTTAAATCCCACCAGCTGTGTGACCCTGGGCAAGTTACTTATAAAGTCCCTGAGCCTCAGTAAAATGGGAGTAATAACCACTACCACATAGGTTGCTAAGAAGAGTAAATGAACTAAAACAGTGCCTGGCATAGAGTAAGTGCTCAATAAAGTTTAGTGACCACATTATTTATCATCCTCATTATCAGCATCCCACGTCCCAGCCCTGCCCACTCTGGGGGATCACTGTCCAGGGCTGGGGCTATTTTGGTCACCGCTGTGTCCTCACACTGCCCAGTATGGCCAGGCACAGGGGTTCAGGCAGTGTTTGTTGAACCATTTAATAAATGAATGAATGAATGAGCTCCTCAGAGAAAGGCCTCTCTCCTCTTCCTTGTTTCTTCATGAATAAAGTCAGGCCCAGTGAACATGACTCATTATATAAAGTAATAAAAAATATAAAATAATAATCATTTATTACTTTTCTACAATAAAGTTATTATTACTACTTATTATTTTCTACTTATTATCCTATTATGTTTCTATTGTTATTACTCTATTATTATTATTCGATTAACTGTTCTATTATAATCTATTATAATTTAAAAGTATCACTCTAATACTTTTTCTATGATTGTTATTATTACTCTATTATTACATTTTCTATTACTCGCTATTATGACTCCCACCCAAGGTCTGCCTGCCCTTCGGGGGCACAAGGCACATGCGCGTCTTGCAGGACAGGTGGGGAGCCGGGGCGGGGAGGCTGGCGTTGGGCGGGGCAGTGGGCGGGGCAGGCGCACCTGGGTGATGAGGAACTTGGTGAGGCGCTCAGGCAGCCGGCCCTTCTCGCTGGAGAGGATCATCTCCAGCATGTCCCCGTGCAGCTTCTCCATCACCACAAATACCTTCTCCGGGGTCTCGAACATACACTCCAGGTTGACAATCCCCGGGTGCCGCAGACTCTGGGGTGGGTGGGGTGGGAGGCGGGGCGGGGGTCAGAACCCAGGTCACCCGCAAACTTGAGACCCCAGAGGGCAAGCCATAGGAGCAGGCAGACGACAAACAAGACAGATATCCCCGGAGGGTCGGCTGTTCCTTCCCTGGGGGTGCCATTGGCGGAGGGGAAGGGGCTTCCACAGCCCGACAGAACCACCCCTCCAGCGCCACCAAGTGTCCAGAAGGATCTTTACATCATGAAATTCTGGTGAAGGTCCAGGGTCATGGGAACAAGAGAAGGGGAGCGTGGAGAAATGGGAAGGAGCTTTGCACACCTGTATCTTTTAAATCCCTGCCCTCCTTCCCTTCCCCAGCCCTTGCCTAGCTGAACCCCATCTCTCCCACCCAGGTCCCCACCCAGCCTCCTCCCTGGGGTCCAGGTTCCAGCCCCACACCTTTTCTCCCTACCCTCCAATAGCAGCCAGAGGGATCTTTCGAAAGTTCACATCTGACCCTGTCCCTTCCTTGCTCAAAATCCTTCCATGGCTCCCCAGCATCCTCAGGAGAAAGCCCACAGGGTGTGACCCCCAGCCTCCCCACTAGCCTCACCACCCACCACCTTTCTTCACATAAACCATCTAGTAACCTTGAACTCCTTCAAGTTCCTAGAAGACTTCGTGTTCCCTCTCACCTCTGGACCTTTGCACGGGTTGGTCCCTCTGCTCAGAATACCTTCTCTACCCCTTCAGTCTCAACATGCATGGTGCCTCCGCTAGAAAGCCATCCCTGACTGTCCCCAGACTGGAGGGAGTGGGAAGGGGAGGCCCTTCCTGGGTGGGGAGGGGGGCAGAGTTGGGCCACAGATTTCAGGGGTCACCTGCAGAATGGCCACTTCGTTCCGGAGCTGGCTCTCCTGCTTGGTGGGGAAACGCAGTTTGTCGATGACCTTTACTGCCACGTCCCGGCCTGTCTTCCGGTGCTTTCCTGGGCAAGGGGTAGAGGAGATGGGGGATGAGGGGATCAGGACCTTCCAGTCCTGGCAAGAGGAAGGCCCCACCAGAGAGACACAGCCGGAATTGGGCAGAGGTGGATGAAAGGCCATCATGGGGGCTCTGAGGGGTCCCCAGGAGAGATGCGAGGGGTGGGGGGCCCTGGGAATAAAGCTGGAAAGTAAAGACAGAGCTCGGAGGAGGGGAATCTATAACATGGGAAACTAGATTTATAACCAGTCAGAATCTAGCATCTAACTCTGTGGCCAATCAGCATAGAATTTACCTTCCCTATTAATAACGGGAGAAAAGTCATTGGCCTTTCCCAGTGAGAAAAGGCCAGCCTGCAACCATCTGCCCCTAGGATCTAACTTTCTAATCAGCTAGAAAAAGTGGTGAGCATGCAGGCAATCAAAGGGAAGGTCTGGGCTCAAGACCCCTTTCTGGGTCAGCTCTTGAAGCATCCTTACCTCCATAGACCACTCCAAACTGGCCCGAGCCCAGCACCTCATCCGGGAAGATCTGGTAGACAGTGGCAATGTCCTGCAGGGTGGGGACAGGGAGGGTCAGGGGTGCAAATGGAGACGGGGAGGTCAAGGAGACTAGGAGGGTGGGAGAACTTGGAGGCTGTTTGGGAAGGGGAGGGAGAACACATCCTTGGGGCTGTGGGATGTGGGCAGGGTCTCACCACATTCTCTTGGATCTGGCTGTTAGACACAGAGATGCTCAGAGAAGCTTGTCCTGGGGAGAGGGGGAGGCGGAGGTAAGGGGACCCCAGGCTCAAGATCACATTCACCCGTAACTCCACCCTCTGGAGCCAGTAATCAGACTACTGACTGACTTGTCCACTAAGAACCTCAGTTTCCTACTCTGGAAGAATGGAAACCATAAAAAGACCTCTCTCCTAGGGCCAGTGAGAGGAGGAAATGAGACAGGAGCTCAAAAAGTGATGCCATGAATGAGTTCACGGAGCATTTCACTCTGTGATCTCAGCAGCAAGTGATGATCCCATTTTACAGAGGAGGAAACTGAGGCTCAGCGGGAAACTCCAAACTGACTCTGGCATCTTCCCCTGCATTTGCCCCACTACTAATCCAACCAAGGTCAGACATTTCCAAAGTCTTGATCCTCCTGCCATTTGAACATCTGTCCCCTCCCTGAGGAACATCCAGCCCTCGCCCCTCAGCCTCCTCCCTGGTCTCCCTGCCGCGTTCCGCCCTCTCCTATTCGCCCTCCATAAGGAAGCCAGAGGGATCTTGCTGAAGCACAAACCTGACTCCATCCTCCCCCTGCTCAAAACCCTGCCATGGCCCCCCAGTGCCCTGAGGAGGAAGGCCAAGGCCCCTTAAGGGCCAGAGTTTGTGTGTATTCCCGACATGCTGGCCTCCTTGCTGTGCCTCCGATACAGCAAGTTCTCTCCTATCTCTGGGCCTTTGCATTTGCTGTTTCCTCTGCCAGGAATGCTCTTTCCCTCATTGTGGACTTAGTTAAATCCTCCTCATCTCTCAGTCTCAGCTCAAATGTTACTCCTGGGGCCATGTCAGGTTCCTTTACCACATGTTCTACGTCCTACTTGTCTTTCATCCAGGATGATCTGATGAATGTCTGTTACTCACCCTCGACTATGAGCTCCATAAGGCGGGAACCTGGAACTCCCTGATCATCCTTTGCCTCTGCGTGAAAGGATTTCCCACTTCCCTTCCCTTCATTTCACCCCTCTTCAACTTCCAGGTCTTAGCTCAGATGTTGCCTCCTTCAGGAAGCCCTCCGGGACACCCAGGCTGGGTTAGTCACCCCCTCTGAGTTCCCACAGCCCTCTGGCTCCCCTATCCCAGCCCTGCCCACTCTGAGTCATCACTGTCTGGGAACAGGTCTGTCTTCCTTACTGGACCAGGAAGGCAGGTCCTGGGCTGTCTTGGTCACAGTGGTGCCCCCAGCATTATCCAGCACAGGCCAGGCACAAAGGAGCATGAATCAAAAAGTCTGAACTCACAGTTTGGAGGAGTTGGCACCCCCGGGAAAAGACTCAGAAAGGGAAAGTAACATGCCCAAGACTGTACGTTAGGTCTAGGGCTTGATTTAGACCCAGGCCTGCTGAGTCCAGAAGCCACATTCTCCACTCTGACATTCCCTGGCTCGTCCCTTCTCCAGGATCCCACCCAAGCCCTCCAAGATCCATCCTCCCAGGGACCCAGGGTGGGGGACTTACTGTGGGGCGCATGGCCTGGGGCACTGGGTGCATCCTGAAGGATGACAGGCATCAGGGCCTGGCGGATGGCTGTTTCCCAGCCCCGGGCAGTCTCGGCCCCCTGCCCACTGGGCCCCCCTGGGGCCCCGCCAGGGGTTTCACCCACAAAGTAGGTGGTGTTGGCAGTGACAATCTCGAAGCAGTGTGGGTTGGTGCCTGGTGGCACAAGGCTGAAGTTCTGGGCAGGCTCCACGGCGAGGATTTCAGACAGTGGAATTTCCTGGCAGGACACAGAGCCAGCACCCGTGAGGGCTCCAGGCTGACCCTGGGGCTCTCCACTTACTCAGATGAGCACACAGAACCCAGTGTCATTGCAGAAGGGGCTGGTTTGCACGGAGGGGTCAGGAAAGGCCTCCTGGTGGAAGTTACATTGAAGCAGAGATCGGAAAGGTAAGAAGAGGCCCGCTGGTGGAGAAGGGGGTTGAGCATGTGCAAAGGCCCTGAGGTAGAAAAGGCTTGTGTTCAAGGAACATGCCGTATCCCCATTACATGGATGGTGCCTGGCACACTGTAGGCATGCCATGTTTGATGAAATAATAAAGGATAAAAATAAAATAAATAAATAAATAAATGAAATCAGGCTAGGGCCAGGCCTCATGGGCCTCATGGGCCACAGGGAAGAGCCTGAGCTTTGTCTCCAGGGCCTTGGGGAGCCACCGACGGGTTTAGTGCAAGGCGGGGAGTAGTTCTCTCTGGCTGTGTGTGGAGGGTGGATGGGAGAGGATGGGACTGACATAGGAGACCAGGAAGGAGGCAGAGGGGGCCCTGGGAGGAGAGAGGGTGCAGTGTCTATGGGGAGGAAAAAGAGTGTGCTTTGAAAGGTGTTGAAAGACAAAGGAAGGGAGGAAGAAAAGAAGGAAAGAGTGAGAAAGAGAGACAGACTTACGTCGCCAATAAAACCAGGAGACAGAGACGTTGTGGCGGGGATGGTATTTTAGATAGCGTGGCTTGAGGAAGACGGGAAGGATAAGAAGGAAGCAGCCATGGGAAGGGTAAGGAAGATGCTCCAGAGCAGGTAGACAGCGAGGTGTCTGGGTTTTATTCCAAGGGCAGTGGGAGCCATTGGAAGCTTGTGATGGTTTTAATGGACTCCTCTGGCTGCTGCGTGGGAAGAGACTGAGGACAAGGGCAGAAGAAGGGCCGGGGAGGAGACTGGCTGGAACGCACCGCTGGCATGGGAGGCGGTGATGAATAAATACAAAGAAAGAATTCAATAAATTAATTATAAAGTTATAATGATAACACACTTATAGTTACTGGGAGTTTAACGGAGCTTAACATACGCCTGGCCCTAAACTAATTGCTCCACGTAGATTATCTCTTTGAATTCTGGCATCAGCCCTGAGGTGAGGACTATTCTTTGAGGCCTTTTACAGGTGAGACATGTGCGGTGCAGAGAGGTGAGGTAACTTGCTTGGATCCCCTAGCTGGAAAGTGATGGGGCGGAGATCAAACACGGGGAAGGGTGTCCAGGTGGGCGACACTTGCTGATGGGATGGAAGCGGGCAAGCAGGGGTGGGCAGAGAGTGTGATTCGCAGGTGTTTGCCTGAAGCAACTGGGAGAGGAGGGGAGAAGATAGTGGACAGAGGAGAGGTCTGGGGGATCTGGGAGCCAGAAGGCCCACCTTGTAGTATCTGTTTGTCGTGTTGTTCTGGAAGAGCG